GCTCGCATTCTAGCCCCAGGAGCTCCTGCCTCCCTGGCCGCTGGCAGAGAACTCCCAGTTTGGCCTCAGCCCTGCGCTTTATGAGGGCCAGGCCCTGCCCCCTTCTGGCCATCTGACTCACATTAGTTGCCCCGGCAACCTGCAGCTGTGCTTGTTATGTTCTGCCAGGGCTCTCTCTCCCTGGCAGTTTCCACTCTCTAGGAGCAGAGTACCGAGGTGCCCTGCGACATAACTAATAGATGCACACCACAGAAATGCCCCCCACCATTAATTTACACTATTCTGAGTTTTAAATAAACTCTAGCAATGTTGAACAGAACTTTTAAATATAAGTTTACACAATAAGTAAAATTCTTCAAACTAGTATCTGAAAAATTCCTTAACTAACACCATGAACTCATTTTTGTCTCTTATATTAAAGCATTTAAAAAACCATGGAATATTTTAGTTATATGAAGGATATTCACAGTGACATCAGCTAACAATTCAGTCAGTTTTGGTTATGCTTTTCAGAACGTTGAATAAAATATTTTAAAATTCACAATTTTAGGGGCATTCAAAATTGTTATAATTAATTAACAGATTAATAAACTAGGACTTCTGTCCATCAAAAGACATATTTTAACCGACAAAACCAATCCTTCACACAACTGTTAGTTTAGACATAATTTCTATAACAACATTTGTACATACCGTCTTCATCTGTTTGAATAATAGTCTCCTCGCTCTCCTTTCTCCCTTCAGGATTTGTTAGGATCATTTTGAGGCTGACATTTGTGTAAGGAGGCAGATGATCCACAACATGCTGGGGTGCTTTGGGGTCCATATCCAAGCAGTCTGCTTTGTTCTCATTGTGTCCACGGAAGTAATGGTAGCAAATAGTGACATTGAACGTGTGGCAACGAGTAATATTGTAACCCAGAGATTCCCAATCCACTGCAATGTGTCTGGCCTGGATCTCAGCAATCTTCAGTGTTTTTGGTGTTCTCATGGGCTCTAGAAAAATACAGAACATGATGAAAATAGCACTGTCAACATTCTTCACACTTGCATGAAGTTGCTGAATGATACACTCAGAAATATCAAAACACAGGAGATACCCAGCAAGCACAAACCCATCGCTGGAAGAAGTGTCATCCCTCTAAGTGATACCCAGAAGGGAAAGAAGTGCCACAGTCTCTAAGTTTTCATTTCCTTCTGTTCCATCCCTTCTCTGTAGGTTTCCACCAGTGATTAAGATTTAGCAGCACTGAAAGTAAAATATTAATTAATGGTGCCAGCAATTCAAAGCATTTGAGAATTACAGAGAGCAGATGCAGGAAGAGTGACCAAAAAGCCACCACAGCTGTCACTGCTAACTTCCCCACTTCTTTTCTTGCTTTTTTCTCCTCAAATGAGTCAATTAGATAATATATCATAGTGGTAAAGAGTCAGCACGTACTGCACTATGATTTATCATGCCACCATGTGATGCTGTATACTAATTACCCTAACTGCTGTACTAAACTAACAGTTACAAAAATGATGCAGATATTAATTAACATTTATTAGTTTAATAATGATGCTATTCATCCAAGCAAGAAAGCCAAGAAGCCAAGAAATATTACAAAAACACTTTTGAAAATTTCCATCATAGTCTACCTCCATTAAACCCCCAATAAACTCTGTGTATAGCTCATAGCTGATAATCATCGCACCACCACCCAAGCTCAACCATTATCTGCACATGAATTTCCACTCAGTTGGAAAACACCAGCAGAACATGGGATATTCCCTAAGTTGCCATCAATCTATCATTGTCTCTCCAGTGTATTAATCCCTCATGCAAGACTAACTTTTATAAATCGAACTTAATTAAAATGATTACAAAATTGAAAGTCAAGACCATGACTAGATGCACAAGAAGCTCACTAGAAATGCACCAAGGGAAACTTTCTACCATCTTTCTATGTATTTGCTTGCCAAAGAAAAATAAGACAAGGCCTAGGTGTAACTCTAGTCTTGTAGGCTTGCTGGCTCACGGTGAAAATCGAACAAGTTGACGTGCATCTGAAATGTAGATTTTTTTTCTTTCTGGGGCTTATTTTCCTACTATCTTTCATTTACAAATCAAGAATCTCAGCTACGCAAATAACCAGCCGAAAGCACAGATGGCCTATCCAAATGAAATCTGAATATATGTATCCTATTCAGTATGTGTTTTGCAAAGACAACTGCAACTAACCAACTTCAAAGATCAAAATGATTTAATTTTAAGTAGAATACATGCAGCTATTTCCTGAAAATATACATATTGCTATGGATTGGAAGGCAAGTGTGTGGGGAGCAAGGGAGAAGGAGTTGTGCGTGTTTTCTTTCATATTCAGTCACCATCCTCTCACTCTCAAAAGTACTATTTTCTTAAACAAGTGTGTTCTTTTCCACCTGAAGTACTGAGCTACTATCAAATGCATGGTAAAAGAGAAAAAATAAGGCTGTCTCCTGGGCAGCGGCCTTCTGAAAATATTGCACAAAGTAGCTCAAGACAATAGGGTGACAGAAATCATTTAATAGGTCAGATGACTGGGGGGGGCGGAAGAGGGGGGGGGAGAGAGAGAGAGTGCGCGCGCGCGAGAGAGAGAGATATTTTTAAAGCTCTTATTATAAAAATATTAAAAAAGTAAAGGTGAAAGTGTTGGGCCCACCCAGGGGCTGAGCGTGAAACACTTTCAGAATGAAAATATTCATATAACCAGAAACTGAACAACCCACCCGAAAATCTTCAAGGGATTACACATTTAAGACTAGCTGTCCATCTTCCAAATTGCAGGGTGCCCCCTCAATGGCCCAGCGTGATACAAATTGGTCCACATTTTGTTGCAAGATGAAGTGTCTAAACTCAAAGGTGATAGACGCCCAGGCCAAAAACCAGAAGAGCTGGAGGGCATCATCAGAGCCAACCTACGTGAGTGGTTTCTGTGGCATAGCAGGGATGCCATCTTGGCCTGGTGCAGCAAGAAATTGGTTGAGCAGATCATTCTCTCTTTGCCTGTTCAGTACAGGACAGAGAAAATGTACAGTCTCAGTGAAGTTGAAATCTGGTATGCCAAATCGGGAGCTGAGGGCAGAAAATGTGGCTACAGTGGGGGACCGGAAGTCATTGAAGAGTCTTCTTCACTTTTTCCTGGCAGAAAAGGCAGGCTGCAAACACCACATGATTTAGGTGGTGAAAAAATGTGCCCATGACCAGGCCCCATGCAGCAGCCACCACTGGAGGTCATCAGTTCTCTTGGCAATAGGAATCTTGTATAGGGTGCACTAGGCTGGGAAGGCTTGCTTTGATGTGCCTGCCAATTAGGGCTGTTTCCAGGAAGTGTTGGTGCAGGTGGCAAGGACACTTGCATGACATTTTGACTTTCCACATGTAAAACACCTTTCCAGACAGGATCTCAAAGCAGATCCCACTACTGGGCTCATTGATTTCACTGGGCATAGAGAGGGACAGCAGGGTACTGGGTCTGCCATTGCTTTCCACAGCTGAAGAGAGAGGCAGTGATGGGTTGGCGGGAGGGGGGCAGGTGAGAGGGAGGGACAGCTAGCGAGCTGCCACTGGGGAAGGTTCATCATGTGTGGAGATAGTCCTCTGTCAAAAACCCTATTCACACAGCCCACCCTGGGTTAATTGTGTAGGATAACACCTGCCTTGGGTAACTTTGGGGCTAAGTACAGACAGCCAAAAAGCCCGAAGCTGAATCAATTCAGTCTTTGCAGGTTAATCTAAGATGCAGAGATTAAACTGAAAAACAATTGGACACACATTTACCTTTGATGCAGGAAATGCAGCCCCATGCCTGCAGTGGCTTAGGCCAGAAGCCAGAGAGTGCTAGAGCATGGCTCTCTGGCACATAGCCAGCATGGGCTGTGTGTTCGCTTCCTCTTCCTGCTGCCCCCGAGGTCTCTGGGATTTGCAGTCCACAATCACAGAAGTAGGACTCTGCAGGGTTGCCATCTCTTCCTCTTTCTGCTTCCAGGTGCCTCTGGGATTTGTAGTCCACAGTTGCAGCCAGCAGTAACTTTCAGTAAGTTTTTAGCAGAGCAGGGCAGCTCTGTACTCAGAGGAAGGTGGGTTTAAACCCCCTCCCTAGCCTGAGACCCCAGCCAGAGTTTGCCAGGTGGGGGAGTCTCTGCCCCTCTCCTCCCCCAACCCTTCTCTGCTGGAGCAGATGGCACAGCACGGCTCAGCCCATGGCTGGAAAGCATGCTGGTATGCTGGGGGACTGTGATTTAACTTAAACCAGGAAGGGGTCTGGGACATTAGTTTCATAAATTGGTTTGACCCAAATCAGTTAAGTCTGATACTACATTCAATCAGGTTTATCTTAAACCAGTTTCAGACATTTTGAAATTGGTTTATGTGCACTGGAATTCTGTTCTATTACAGGTTTAAACCAGTTTTTAATCACTTAAACTGGTTTATGTGTAACTTCTGTTCTTAGCCTGGCTGACAAGCTGTGCCCCAGCTAATTAACTGGCTAGCTTCCTAATTGCCTGATGGTGCATGTCTGGACCAGGGAAATGATGAGGCTTCTAAAGGCAAGGCTTGGTGTCCCTTGCTGCAAGGCCAGGTTACAGACCATGGTTTCCTGCAGGAGCTCTGGAAATCAGGTGCACATGCCCTGAGGTCTCATTTGGAAGGAGACTTGTCAGGCCTGGGTGAGGCTGTGGTAGAAGGGTGAGAAGCTTCCTTTGGAAAATGAACAATGTGGACTACCTGTTAACTTATTTCTTTAAAAAATGCTGCTAACAGATGCAATTGTGAAAAACTTCTGAAAGAAGGCAATAACATATGGATTCTTTAGAAGGGGGTGATAAAGGGAATTACCACTGAATCTTAGTCATTACAAGCAGATATAGGAAACTGCATTCACTGCCTTAGGAGAATAGTACCACTAAAAGGAAAAAAAGAAAAATCCAACCCTTTGATAAGAAAGAGCATAAATGTCCTTCAATGGATTCTGTTAGAAGGTGATGTCTAAAGTAATGGAATCAAGTCTATCATTAGGGTTAGTTTTGTATTATGTGTTATTTTCCTTTCTAAAACCAATATCATTGTTGTCAATAATTTCAGTTTTATTTTTCCTATTCCAAGAATGGCACACACCAGAAAAGATATACAATTCTAACTTTCTCTGCATCTTAAATTAATTTAAAAACCAATTTTGCAACATAAAATAATACAGGTTAGTCGTCTGTAAAGATTCATGCCTTGCACATGTTGAGAATCAAGCAAAGCCTTAAACCAAGCAGTAATAGGAAATGCACTGAATTTTAATTTAGTTTCCTCCAAGATAGGACTTTGATATGCATATTCCACTTGGCATTATGTAGGCCTTTTTGAAACAGAAAAAAAAAAAAATTAAAAGCTTTGTTAATCTTGGAAAAAAATCTTTTACAATCCCATGCAAATTTTACAAAAGTATCACAGTATCAGAGGAGACATTAAAATATCCTTTATTTACCTGTCAGAAAAGGAAATATAAAAGAGCAAGCATGATCTAACTTCTTCACAAGCACTCTTGTTTGGCAGAGATTAACCAATTTCTGTAATATTGAGATAGTAATTAAAGTCTGGAGAGTATCTCAACAGCTTTGGTAGATTCTGCCAACTGTCCTATTGGTGCTAAAATGATGCTTTCGAACACAATTTTACCAGTGCATCTGAGCAACATTCATAACGGGGATCTCTAGAGATCGGGTCCAATTGTTTTAAACTGCTGCACCACAAAGTCTCCATCTGTAAGCACTGGTAGAAAGTAATCTCCCAATAATTATTTTTCTCAGCTAAAAAGCTACTGAATTGTGTGGTAGGCTCCCTGAAAACTCACTGCATCTCATTAAGAACAATTATTTGTAGGTGAAGAGAAAATGAAAAGCCCCAAATTACATTTAGTACTCTATTTCCCTTCAAAACGCTGTCCTAAAGTCTCTTCAAATTAAGTTCAACTGATTGGTTCCTT